CACAGTCACACCCACGGGATCCGAGGGCACTGCAGGCAGCGAGGCTACCACTGACGACACGACTGACGCCACCACGACGGACGCGACAACTGACGCCACCACCACCGATTCCACTACGACGGTGGGTGGAAGCACTGCGGAAGAGGGAATGATGGGAGACGACCCCGCCGCCGGTGCCACGACGCCAGCTTCCACGGACGCCACGACGGACGGCTCCACTACGGATGCCTCCACAACAGACGCTTCTACGACCGACGCCTCGTCCACTGACGCGACGACAGACGCCGCTGCGACCGACGCCTCGTCCACTGACGCCACCACGGACAGCTCAGCGAGCGGGGCGCCTGCTAGCGGCGCCACTGCTGCTGCGGCGGAGTCCTCCACCGACGGAGCAACCGATGTGACGGGCTCGTCCGGCGCCACCGACGAGTCCAGCACCGACAGTACGGCCATCGGTGTGCGATCCGGAGTCACCGACCCCACTGCGGACACCGCCGCCACGGACTCCACGGCCACAGAGGGCACAGCGGGCACCGACATGACGGACGTGATGGCCTCAAGCGTCACGGAAAGCACCACTTCGTCGATGTTCGGTGAGTAACAGTAGCTGTTGGTGTAAGGACTCGAATGAGATCCCAGCGCGGAAACCGAGGTGTTTGAATGAACGTCCCTGTTGCAGAGCCTTGGGGATCAACCACGTCGGCAGCACTGGATGAGGTTACGGGCAAGAGGAAGCGCAAGTGCAAGAAGAGGAGGAGGAAGAAGAAGGACCCCACCAAGTGCCATGCCTTTGAGTTCGGTTGCTGCTGGGACGGCGAGACGGAAGCCAAGGGACCGTTTGGTGAAGGTACACTGTTAGAAAAAACCACGGAAAAAACACAGAAAAACTATGGTCAATTTTTTGCCCAGAACGTCCGTCTTAATCTGTGCTGAAACCACAGAGACGGTACGGAATCAACGGTACAGAAAACCACGGAGCTTCTGTTACAGAACGTCTGTGCTACTCCGTACACCTGCCACAGAATTATTACAGAAATTTTCTGTGACTTAGCCATTCTTTTCTAGATACAGTTTTGTTGAATTAGAAGGATCGTCGTCTGCGTAGGATACTTTGATACCCGAAGTGAGTCAAAAATTCAATTTCATTGGCGCTTTAGCACAGGACTGCAGCGCGCGGGAAATTATTTCCCAATGGCAACATATCAGGGTGGGACAGTACATGGTGACCAGGACGGAAGTGATCAGCGAGAGCTAATGTAGAATGCCATCTAGCGGCGTCTTCGGACGCCTTACTACTGAGACACAATATCTGTTACAGATGGGTCCGCACCCCTTGAATGACAGACTATTTATGTGACGGAAGCAATCTGTACGATTCTGTTCTGTTTTTTCTGTGATTTTGAAGCACAGACTTCTGTGTTCACAAAATAACTGAAAATTTCTGTAACAGAAGCAATCTGTACACCTCTGTTGGGAATTTTTCTGTGGTTGTCTGTGGTTTTTCCACAGATTTTTTAACAGTGTATGCAGTGTTCCAGCAAGACACGATCCGAGCGCTTGCAGACCAAGCTTCATTATTTCATTAAAATTTCTCTATCCAGGGTGCTCGGAGGCCAAGACGTGCAAGGATACCAAGTTTGGCTG